CTTAGAGAGACCCTGTCTCAAAACATAAAAAGGGCTGATGATGTGGCTTGGTGGTTAAGCACCCTTGGGTTCAGTCCCTGGTTTTCCCCCACCCCACGTCAATAAATAAGTAAAAAATTAAGGGAAGTTGGGCTGGGGTTGTGGCTCAGTGGTAGAGCTCTCATCTAGCACATGCGAGGTGCTGGATTCTATCCTCAGCACAACATAAAAATAAATAAAATAAAGGTATTGTCCAACTACAACTAGGAAAAAAAAGTATTAAAAAAAATAAATAAAGGGAAATGTATGTTGTGACCATGGGGGTGTTTTAGGGAAATTGACCTTGAGGCTTAGTCTAAGAAGCAAATTAGAAATTTTATTGTAATAATTCAGACATGAGTTAAAAGGGTTTGGACCTTTATAACAAAATAAGAATGCAAGAAAAATCTATGAGTTAGCCAAATTTGTGGCAGAATGACTGGATATGAGGGCTAGAAGAAAGGAGGGATTTTCATTTGAAGCCTGACTGTCAAATAAACTGAAAACAGTGGTGTCACTGGAGGAATTTCCAGAAAAGGGGATCCTACCTCAGGACCAGGGGATATGATGGAAAAGAATTTCATCATGTGCTAGTCAGACACAGATTTATTTAGCTAGACACATATTCATGAGAGAATGGGTGCTATCTCAAGGGAGAGGTGTCTTTTGGAGTAAAGTAAGAAATATCATTCAAGGGAGAATGCTGGCCATCTTGAGAATGAGAAGCTTTGGGATAAAGCAAGGACTGTACGTTCAAAGAATATTGTGGGCCATCTTCAGAGGCAGAGACAGCAGTGCCTTGGTGTAGAGTATTAATATTTATAGAGGGACAGTTGCTAGGGGTGGGACTAGAGGTGAAGACAGGGCAGAGTTATACAATTTTGCATAAGTTTCCCTGGTTTTGCTCTCATGTTACTTTTTACAGGCAATGGCATGAGTCAAGCAACCTCTCAAGCTAAAGACGTGGGCAGGGTTGCTCGCATGCATGTTTTTCTTCTTTATTTTTTGCAGGAGTTGGTGTTGAACTTAGGAATGCCACTGAGATATATACCTCAGTCTTTTTTATTTTGAAATCTAATTTTATTCAGAGCATTTTTAAATTTTTATTTTTATTTTTTAGTTGTTGATGGACCTTTATTTTATTCATTTATTTATATGTGGTACTGAGAATCCTAGGCAAATGCTCTACCTCTGAGCCACAACACCAGCCTTCCTTTTTATTTTGAAAGAAGGTCTTGCTAAATTGCCCAAGCTGGGCTCCAACTTGAGATCTTCCTGGCTCAACCTCCTGAGTAGCTGGGATTACATGCTTGTTTTGCATTCAAAAGTTCATGGGCGTTTCCTGCATTCCAAGGGTTTTGGGGTACTTCTTTTGAGATTCCATATGACTTTTTTTGTATCCCCAAATACCCATCACCACCTTTATCAGTTGGTGATGTCATAGAACATAATAAAAATTGAAATTTAGGACAGGGGTGGGGATCCTCCCCTGTCAATGGGCCATTTTGAAATTCACGGGAGAATTTTCATTGCTTTTGTTATAATGACCTTTCCACTCCCTATGCCCTCTTTACCACTCCACAATTTTGTGGGCAGAGTTCTATCCACAAGGTTAATAGGGAGCACCACTATAGATCAGAAAAGTTCAAGGTAGAATCTGAACAGAGTTTATAGTTAAAATAACCATGAGTACTCTGAGGAACATGAAGAAAAGAGGAAAAGAGGAAATTTGGGAATGATGATGTAATAGAAAGGAAATTAAGGCTAGTGCTAGCCATGAAAGAAAAAGGAGGAAGTAATTTCTTGAGATTGCAGTCTGAAGAAGTAGAATAATGTGGTGGAGCACCAGAATTCTGGCTCACAATCCTGAATAGTTTCGTAAATCCAGAGCTGAAAACCACAGGCTTTTAGGAGTTTGAAATGAAAACATTCGGAGAGGTGGTGAAGTCTTTTCTAACATCCCTAAAAAGACTATTTAGGTTTTCTTTTTTTTTTTTTTTTTTTAACTTTAGAAGAGTATTTAGAAATAAGGTGCAGTTTCCATTCCAACCTAATTAATAATTGAGAGGCATTGTGTGAGATTTAAATCCATTAAATCTGGGTTTATTTAAATTATTTGGGAAGGAACAATTCTGGATGGGGAGCTCAGAGTATGGTACTAAGTGCTTAAGTTAAATATCTTCAATAGTCATACCTCTTAGGTTTTCTGCTTTAATTTATAAAGGAAAATGAACAGAGCACTATTCAGGGCAGTGTTGGTCTTTGATAATTAAATCACTTGGCTTATTATTAAGTTCTTAAGAGTTCTTTAGAAATTTACACTAGGAAATAATTTTCTTAGGAAGATGTTGTAAATGGTAGTTGGCTTCCTAGCTTAAGGCATTTAAAAAAACTTCTGAGCTTTTTAATGTGTATTGTGGGAGTTTTACAGTACCTAAAGATTTGATTTATAGGCTGGATAGTAAAGTGAACTGGAACAGGATTTCCTTACTCATTGTTTCTTACCTGCTGCCTGAATTCAGGACTTTTTTTGTAGTCCATGACTGTTACCTGCAGTTGGGCAGGTGTGCACTACACAATTCTAGGGGCTCATTTGTATTGTTTGTGTTAATGGCACACCCAGAGTTTTATATTTATGCAAAATGTGACCATATGTGGTGGCCTTGTAGTGAGTTAAAAAGGAAAAAAATCATAAAGCATTATTTTAATATTTTCACAAATAACATTGACTTTTTAAAAAATATTTGTTGTTGTAGATGGACATGATATCTTAATTTTTTTATGTAGTGCTGAGAATTGATCCCAGTGCCTCACATGTGCTAGACAAGCACTCTACTATTTGAGCCACAACCCCACAACCCCAGCCCCCATATTGACTTTTTATCAGAATCTAATCACTTAAATTTCAGTCTGGTTCACACCTTGACTTGGTTTTTAAATTCAGAACCATTTTCCAGTGATCAGAAGTCTCTTAGGTATTTGAGTTTAAAACCTTTGGCTAGGTTTAAAATGGTGGGAAAAAATGGTTTTTCAAGGTATTTTGCATTATAAAAAATTTTAAAGTTAATATAGGCTCTACAGCACTGTTTAGTGGCTAAGGAGGTTTATATAAAAATCATACCGAGCTGATTTATGGTTAAGTAGGTCGTTAGTTTGGTAAGCAGGATACTTCAATTTTTTTTTTAAGATATTGATGTATCTTCATTTTATTCATTTATTTGTATGTGGTGCTGAGGATTGAAAACAGTGCCTTACATATGCTAGGCAAGCGCTCTGCTACTGAGCCACATCAGCCCCAGGATACTTGTTTGAACAGTGGATATTTTACTGCATTATTTCAGTTGAGATGTACCATAATTTCAGTTGAAACAGTTTTGAAGCTGTTTTATGCATTACTTAGAAATTATACTGTCAAGTAAACTCTTAACAGACCTTTCTTAATTGCTAAATTTTTTCACTTTTTGATTTGTTTTGCATTTTTGAAGCGTTGTTAGATTTATTTAGAAAATGAATGCAGGTTTTTATTATATATCACTTGTACCTTTTTTTTTTAAAAGAGAGAGTGAGAGAGGAGAGAGAGAGATAGAGAGAATTTTTAATATTTATTTTTTAGTTCTCGGCGGACACAACATCTTTGTGTGTGTTTGTGTTTGATGGGGATTGAACCCATGGCCTTGTACATGCGAGGCAAACTCCAGCCCAGTGATTTCAATCTTAACTTATTTATTTGTTTGTTTTGTTTTGTTTTTAAGAGATTGGTATCTCATTATGTTGCCCAGGCTGGCCCCTAATTCCTAGGGTCAGGCTATCCTCCTGGTTCAGCCTCCTAAGAGGTGGGACTACAGGTGCTTACCACTGTGCATGGTAAATTTTTAACCCTTTAAAATACTTCAGGGCTTTTGCACGTGACCATGTGGTTTGCACAGTGTTGTCTATGAGCAGCTGTGTTTTTTTTTTTAATGTCCTATAGAGCACTTGGAATTATTCATCTAATTATGAATAGTTACTTCACTGTATCCCATTGCTGTTTTATTTCCTTTGTAATAGACAATAAGTTTTATTTCATTTCAGAATCATCTTGTAAACATTTTGAAGACTTTAAGCAGCAGTTAAAACTAAAAATAAGCCTGTGTGCAGACAACTGGCACAACTGCCATACAACTAATGGCAGTTATAACATAACTTCTCGTTAAAATGCAATCTAACTTCAGTGAAGTTAAAATGTAAAAGAAAATGTGTAATTTTTTTACTGCATTTTCCATTTTTGATGTTATTTTAAGACTATTTTATGGTCTATTTACTTTTTTTTTTTTTTTTTGTACCTAGGGATTGAGTCCAGGGGTGCTTAACCATTGAGCCACATCCCCAGCCCTGTTTATATGTTTATTTTTATTTGAGACAGAGTCTTACTAAGTTGCTTAGGGCTTCACTAAATTGCTGAGGCTGGCTTTGAACTTGTTATCCTCCTGCTTCAGCCTCCTGAGTTATAGGAATGTGCCAATGTGCATAATATATTTACAGTTTTTTATACCATTTTCCATTTTCTAAGATCTAATCTCTTAAAATTGTGGGATTCCCCTCTTGCCTGGACAGGGTCTTGCTAAATTGCTAAATTCAAGGCCTTGAAATCCTGATCTCCTTGCCTCGGTCTCCTGAGAAGCTGGAAATACAAATGCATGCCACCATGCCTGGTTTACAGTTGTTTTTGAATTGTTACTCATGAAATTCATTAGCTTATTTTAACTTGATGAACCAAGGTGATTTAAAAAAAATTTTTTTGTAGTTGTAGATGGACAACATGCTTTTATTTTATGTGCTTATTTTTGTATACGCTAAAGATCAAACCCAGTGCCTCACATGTGCTAGGCAAGTGCTCTGCCACTGAATCACAGCCCCTGCCCCCCAACATGATTTAAAAAAATTTTTTTTTAGTTGTAGATAGAAACAATATTTTATTTTATTTATTTTTATGTGGTGCCAAGGATCGAACTCAGTGACTCATTCACGTGAGGCAAGCAGTCAACCACTGAGCTACAATCCCAGCCCTCACAAGGTGATTTTTTTAAAGCGTCACCGGGGTATAAAGTGCTGAGTAGATAGTGGGGAAAAGATATGACAGATGGCTGTGGGATAGGTGAGGAGGCTTCTTAGTTTAGTAATCTTTAGTGTCCCTTATGGCGATGGGTACCCTTCTCAAGGAACTAATAGAAACTGAAGGAGAGTATCCTTTAATTTGTCCCAAGTTCCCTGCATAGTCTGCTTCTACCTGTCTTGGAAGTTTAGTCTTATGCTGTGGGTGGATTTATTCATTTCATTTTGCCTGCTTTACTGTTATAAATAGGAATTAAAAAATGTAATTCTTGTTATTCTGTTTTGAGAGGAACATAAGCAAAGCACTCGTAGCTGTGCTTTCTGACCTGGAATTCTGCATTTAATCTTGACTAATTTGTGCAGCTATTCTTCTCTTTAACAGGTTTCTCCCCATATAAAACTCTTTATAAAAATACGGAGAAGAATGGCAGCGGAGACGCAGACACTGAACTTTGGGCCTGAATGGTGAGTTTTCAAAGTCTCATCCTGTTTGATATTGGATGACTAGAAAGGTATTTGATCAGGTACTGGGTGGTGTGTACATGTACACATTTTTGAGACTTTGCTTCATGTGCCTAGTTGAAAACTAGTAATAAATTATATTTGGTAAATGACTCCTTTTTATACTTCATTGGAATGTTTTTCTTGGTCTGGCTATGTCATGGGAATGAAATTCAAACTCTACAGCTCCATCACCCTAGAAAATTGTTTGTTTTGTTCGAGCCCTTGTCTAGGTACATTTTTTTGGTACATATTAAATTTTATATAATTGTAATATTTTAATGTGTATGTTTTCTGCTATAGTGTTGTGATTGCTATTCATAGATGCATTTGAAAAATTGTTTTGTATGGAAATATTGTTTGAATTTTATTTTATTGATGGGCTAGGCAGGTGGTCCAGAATTATACTGGTTGTTAGCAGTAGCCAATCTAGGATTGAGTTAGCATTTTCCACAATAACAATTAATTGACCTTTGAGTCTCTTACAGATGTGTTTGGACTCCGAATATGGAATTCTCATGGAATTTTGAGATCCATCACATTGTAGTGTGACTCCCCCCCCCCCTCTTCCTTTTCCCCAAAAGTTGGTGCTTGAAGATCCTCTCTTCAGTGGCGTGAATAATGATAGTTACTTTTTTCATTTATACCTCGAACAATCCTTTTGGCAATGTCAGAGGCAGTGTCTAAAGTATGGATAAATTGGAGTAGTGTCTTAAACATCCTTTATTGTTCAGGTGCTGGTGGTTTGATAAGTAACGTAGACATCTTGTAGTAGCTCTTTATTGGAGGACTTGCCCTATTATATGCATTTCTTTTTATATGTGATTCCTAGATTTTCTTAATCTTTATAGCTAGCATTTGGAGACTGAGGAGAAATCACTATTTGAAGTCCTGAGAACTGATGGAACTCCTATATTTTTATTTTGAATATGTTGACTTAATACTGTACCTGTTTTCAGTTATCATTTTATATTTTAAAACTAATTTTCTTATTACTAGGTCATGTTTCTAGAAAAATTAGAAATTATAAGTAATTCAGAAGAAGGTATAATCACCATAATTTCACCATACATGGTAACCACTGTAAAATATCTTGGTGTATTTTTCCAGGTGGTTTTATGTATCTTATTTGTATATGTGTACATTTATTTTTACAAAAATGGGATCATGCTGTGCATTAAATTTTGTAACCTTTTAAAAAATCAGTAATTCCAAAGCATCTTTTCTATCAATAAATATTTTCTATTCTATTAAATAGTTGCATTGTATGGATGTACTATTATTTATTTAACTAGTCCTCCATATGTAGCATATAAAAGCTATTCTCAGTTTTTCAATATTCTAAAAGTATTTTTAATGAACATTCTTATAGCTAAATCTTTATTGATAATTCATTAACTTCTTTTACCAACTGAATTTAAATTTATATAGTTCAGTTTGTAAACCATTTTGTGTGTAGCCCTTCTGTCATTATTTAGAATTTGTTATTGCTTCTTTTGTATTTATATACCCTCATATCTTTTTCTTTGTAAAAACATGATTAAAATCATTAGGTAGTTTAAGAAAGTTTTAAAAAAATCACTGTTAATAGGTAACAAGAGAGTAACACTAGAAATTTAACTGAAACAAAGGAGGAACAAAACTGGTGATGATGTAGAATTACTTCATATTTAGCTTAGTGTCTTAAAATGAGGGTTGGCAAATTGTGACCTGTGGGACTGTAAATAAAGTTTTGTAAATAAAAGTTTATTGGAGGACAGCTGTACCCATTTGTTTCCATATTATCTGACTACTGTTATGCTACTTGGGCAGGGTTGAATAGTTATATCAGAAGCCAACTGATTTGCAGAGCTTAATTTTCTTTCTGGCCTGTTATAGAAAAAAATTCGGGGTTGGGGGGCAAAAAAAAGAAAAAAATTTGCTCGCTTATGCCTTTCGCCATATGTTCCCAAATAGTCATTTTAGTGTGTCATTGACCAAGTCTGTCAGCAGCATCTTACACATCTTCCTTTTCATTGCTATTTTGAATTTTGTTTGTATTTTAAACAAAATTTTGAATTGAGTGAGCTTTAGCAGAGGGCATTTGCCAGTTCCTTAAATCCTTAAGCAGTAACTTTATCTAATTGTTACCTCTGTTACCCGATAAGCATTAGAATTTAGGACCCTTCACTGAGTCACCTAAATGCCCAGGAACTGAGGAATGGAGGTCTGAGTAGGTATTCTTTAATTGTACCATCTATCAAGATTACTTTTGGCAAAGGAAATAAATGAATCCCTTAAATAACTCAAGTAACCGTGAGCTAGAAAGCTGCAGTGTAACTAGAGACTGCTGCCATATTTTTCTGCAAGTAACATGTTCATTATGAAACATGAGGTAAGAAACTGTTTTCAAAGTACTCAAGAATAAAGGGTTAGTTATTACATTGATTCAATGTAACTGAACCATACAGAACCATTTAGTGATGATCTCATTACTAAGGTCATCATCTTTTAATGAATAATGTAAAATACAATGTTTAATAATATATGCACAAAATGAAGAGATTATTCATACTTGGGGGGCAGTTGTGAAGATGAGAGAACATCTGTGAACATCTGTGGTGGGAATGGATTACACTCTGAAGACTTAGAGAGACTTGGACCAAGACAGAATTCGTTAGGTCTTAGATTATATTTGAAGTAAAGAGATGTATCAGAATCAATCAGTTTAAAAGGGTGTGATAAATTTAATGGAGAAGTTGCTCATTTCTAGGTATAAAACAGGAGTCACTTTTTCAAAGCCTTTGAACAAATGCTGTTGCCTTAGACCTTTCCTGACCCATCTCAACAACTTACCACCCCACTCCCTTCCTCCCTGGCTTCTTCATGGTCTGTATCAAAGTGTAACATGCCAAATGTTTTATGCGCTTATTTTCAACCCTCACTAGACTGTGAGCTCCATTGAGGGCAAGTACTTGGTCTGGATTTTTGTATAGCTTGTTCTTTGCTGTATCTCCAGTGCCTGGCACATAGTTGGGCACTAAATAAACTTTTGTTAAATGAATGCGTAAATTATTGGAAAGTAAAGTTGTTTTAAATGTTTTCCTATTGTAAATGATATATTTGTACATACATTTTTTCTTGAATGGTTTTGTTTGTATTGCTAATCATTTTTTGGATTAATTCCTTGAAAGTGGCATTATTAAATCAACAAGTTTCATTTTTAAGGTTTTTGAATGATATATGGACAGGTTGATTAATTTAATTCCCATTTTCTGTGTGTTTACTTCACCCTTGACAAAACACTTTGTACTATCTTGATAACTTTTTGATGCTAAATCCCTTTGATTTAGGTCTTTGGGAATTTTTTGTTGGTCCCTATAACAAAACAAAAGGACCCATTTCAGAAAACCTGGAGGAAACAATACTACAGGAAAAAAAAGGAAAAGATTTAAGTTGCCCTTCATCCTACTACCCAAAGAGCCTTTGCTAACATTGATTTGAATCCTATTAATTTTTTCTTTGCAAAAGTATACTTTTGAGATATTTATAAAACAAATTCAACTTTACTTCATTTATTTGGGTTTTACAAAATTTTGTGAAGATCAAAAAATCTACCTAGATAAATTTAGATAATTTATTGTAGGGAGTGAAACTATAGACCTGGTTTAATGGGGGAGGAGCCAAGGGAATTTCTTTTTTTGTCTCATCTCTCCATTGGTCTTAAGGATGTCTTCCCAGGTCTTGACCTTGCAAAAGAGGGAGGTACTTTTCTGCTCCAGAATACTTTGTTTAGATTTAAAAAAAAAAAAAAAAGTTAACCATTTTGTGGCTGATCTCTTTCTATTCGTTTTTGCTTCAGAAAGAAGTATTTTATTAAGAGAGACCTGTGTTTCTGAATTTTGCCAAGCCCATTATTTAGCTTAGTGTACCAGATGTAGGCAGTGTTTGTTGAATGAAAGTATTTAGGTTTTATTTATTTTTATTTTTTGGGGGAGAATGCAAACCTGAGATGGCTAGCTAGCTTACTATTCAGAATCTTTGTGTAATTGTGAAAAATTGGGAGAAGTTCTAGAGGATGGAATGTGTTAATATTCCCAGGTTTCAGAAGGGTATAAGAAGTAGTAAACTAGGGTAGTAAATTAGATATTATCTAAAGGTATACTTTAGAAGAGAATACTAGGATTTATATAGAAAACACTTTATCAAGTACCTGCTGTATTCTGTGTCTGTGTCTAGATCTCATCTTCTTCCCTTTTTCTCCTACTACTCTCAACTCCCTCTGTTTATTCTGCCTCTCTTTATCCTGCCTTTCTTTACTTCCCTGTTCTTCCCACGTAGCTTATCTTCTCCCTAGAATCCTTCTCTCCTCCATTGGTGAAAAAGTTCAGGAAAAATATTCTTGACAGCAGAAAGGGCATGTTTAAAGACAACATGGCAAGAAAGTGTAGATTTAAAAGGAACTCCATGATATTTGCTTTTACTGTAACATGAAATGTGAGTGAAATGAGCTTGGAGGTGACCCTTCTAAGAATCTCAATGTTTTGTTTGATTATTGTGTGCCAATAAAGAATTAGAGAGTTTTATTTAGATTTGCCTTTTTTAAAAAAATAGTTTTAGTTGTAGATGGACACAATACCTTTATTTTGCTTATTTAGCTTTTTTTTTTTTTTTTAAATGTGGTGCCAGGGATCAAACCCAGTGCTTCATACGTGCTATGCAGGCACTCTTATCACTGAGCTAAGATCCCAGCCCCAGATTTGCTTTTGAAATAAAATTTCCTTGTAATGTGGAGGATGGAATAAGACTAATTATATAATTTAGGATGGTGTTACAAAAATAAAAATATGAATTAGAATGAAGTTATTGGATCAAGAAACCAGATGCTGTGGCGCACACCTGTTATATAGGAGACTGAAGCAGGGGCATTGCAAGTTCGAGGCCAGCTTCAGCAACTTAGTGTAGATTAACTTAGCTAGACCTTGTCTCCAAATAAAATAACAAAATGGGCTGGGGATATGGTTCAGTGGTTTAGCATCCCTGGATTCAATTCTCATTTAGAAAACAACAAAAAAATATGACTTAAGAGATTTAGAATTTGTTAAGACGTATAAGGAGGTATAAGAGATGGTAGATTGTGAGGGGAGAGTAAAGGGTGAATTCTAGACTCTTATTTAGTGCTGATTGGGTGGTGGAATTCTTAACTGCCTCTGGGAATGGTGGTTGGGATGAATGAACTGATGAGTAAGGTTTGGGCATTGTTGACCCTGATGGCCTCTCTATGGTTCAACATGAAACCTGCCTCTGCAGGAGAGGTCAGAGCTGGACTTAAAAGAATCATGAACTTATGCAGGAGAGCCTTTTGACTCCCAAACCTTCACACATCTATATTGACATTCCACATTGCTTTTTAAAACTGAAGTTTGGAGTTTGAATAGCACTAGCAAGTGTAGATGGGGGCAAATATGGGGGTATTGGGGTATTAGGAGTCCTGCCACTGCTACCTATCAGTTACTGCCTATGGTAGGGCAGGGCTTCCTGTGTTAAAACCTCTCAGACAAGGAGGTGAAGTTCTTGAGGGCAGGCAGTTTTCTTCACTTTTGGCAATGTTGATGAACTTTGCAGACCAGTGGAGTGGGGAGAGAAGCCAGCTGTCAGTGGGTTTTGAAGGAAGTAAGGAAGTAGGGATACTTCTGGAATGAAGAGGAGAGATGAAGAGTGTATGGCTAGAAGTGGAATGCTGCATTAAATATCACTATTAGCTGAGTTTATAAATGGGAAACGTAGGGAGGTCTTGGATTTCTAGATGAGGGGATTGTGTGGAGGAGACGAAGACTGCTGATGGGTTTTTAGGGAAGGATGTAACCCAGATATATTTCGGCTTTTCTAAGAATTTGTATATGAATGAGGACTTGGAATAGAACTTGATGATGACTGAGTCAGAACACAGTCATTATTCTAACACAGGGGACCCTCTTAATTTGACTCATTGTCACCTTTCTCAATCTTTCTATAGCAGCTGGAGGATTTATCAATCACGTTACTCTGAGTAGATCTAGTACTTACAAGAATTGTTTAGTCCTGGACATTGGAAGGGCATCCAGGATCCATTGACAGGACAGGGTGGTAAATGGAATTGAAAACTTTCTGTGAAGAGCATTTGAAGAAATTAGAGATGATAAGCCACTAGGGGGAGTCTCTAGTGAGACATGGCGACTTTGCCAGGATTGGAATGATTTTCACTTGAAAGAGGGCTTAGATGTGCCCTCAGCGATAGAAGTTGTGGGGAAGCATGTTAGCCTGGTATAAGGAAAATAGTTTAAAATAATTTCTAGTAAAAAATATATATTTTAAAATTGGTAAATAAACTGTGACTATTTTAAACACTTTTAGAGACCTCATGATTAGAAAGATCATGCTCTATTTGCCATAAAAACCTAGGCTTGATCTTTGTTCTGCTGACTGTGACTATGTGTTAGAAGTTTAACCCCTCAGCTTCATTTTTCTTATCTGTTATTTGGAGGTTATGAAACTTAAAAATAAGATCAAATGAGCTAATTATGTATAAAATTCCCAGCTTCAGTTTTCAGGGGATGTTACTTTTACTTTTTTAGGGTATAGCCCAACTTTATGGAGCTGTGTTAAGAGGTGTTTCCTGGAATGTTCTTCAGCAGTGGTTGGATGGCTCTTTTGGGTCATGTTGTTTTCTTACTGGTTGTTTAACCTGTCTTATGGGGGTTGTACTAAATAATCTCTAAGCCCAAAAATAATTTCAGAGGAAACAAAGACCAATCAGGTAGTAATGAGCATTCCTAGTAGCCAGATAGTGGCCTTTTTAGTAATTTGAGATAGTCTTGGCTCCTTGAAGAAATGGATGATCCCAGTTCTGAGGCAAGATAATACAAGATAAGTTAGAAGATTTTGACATATCAGAGCAAACACTGTTACAGATTAATAGAATTATGTCAGAAGGACCCAGGAATAAGATTAGAGTTGCCCACTGGTCAAAGATGAGACAATTTGGACATTGTTAAGAGTAATTGCAGCTTAATAAAAAGTATTTTGTTAATGTTGAAGGATACTAGTAAACCAAGCCATTATTTTGAAAACTAAAAATTTAAAGGAAATAGTCAAGGTGGATTTTCCTTCCTTCCCTGTATAAACTGCCATTGGGTAACTAGGCCAAATAGTATAAGAGGGAAGTTTCTCTTTGCAAAAATAGTCCAGCAAATAAAGAAGGAATTATAGAATAGAATCACTTTGCAACAACCTTGGTGAAGTTAGGAATCCATGCATTGATTCTGAATGACTTAGCATCACAAAAACAACCAGGCACTGTATGTCTCCTAATGTAATCATAAACCACTACATATGAAATATTGCCAAAAAAAAGTAAAACCCACATTTTAAGTCTTTATACCCAGCTGCCAATTTACATGAAATGCAGAGGACATCATGGGTCAAATCAGGAAAACCAGACTTCTAAAAGAAGTCCCTATTTTTAAGAGATTCTAAAATATGAGAAGAAGAGTGATAATCCAAAGGTTTACTTCAAAGTGGTATCAAGGTTTTTAAAAAAGGTAGAATGAGAAAATAGAAACATTGGAAAAAACCCTTATAGTCTCACTCTTTTTTTGTACTACTTTCTATGTGGAAATACATTTTTATGTTTAGGACGCATGTTTTTTCTTGCCACTTTTAATACTATGCAAATATTTACTGTGTTTTTACCTGGCCTTCATACGGGCTTCTAATATGTTATAATTTAGTAGATCGCTCCCTTCTTTTACTTTTGTGAAAAGAGCTTAACAATTTGGGGTATGACTTTTATTGCTTTTTATTGGATTTCTTCTTTAGCAAACCCACTTAAAGTACTTTGGTTCTTTTTCCCCTTGGCATCTACCAGGTTTATAGAACTTTGCTTCTAATATTAGTTTTTCCACATGCTCTTTGACACAGTGCTGCAGTAGGATCTGACTTCTGTCATTTTTTTTGCTGAGGTTTTTCTTTCATAAAAATATTATTAAAAATCAAAATGTTTTTTTCTTTCCCATTTCTGTTCCTTAGAGGCAGTGTCAGCTTGGAGCACATTTTTATTTTTTATTTTTAGCAATAAATACACTAATTGCCTTTATTAAAATATATTATGAAATATCACAGGTATATACAATTATAACAAGCTTCCATGTACTTGTCACCAAGCTGATAAAATAGGCTATTAAAGGTACAATTAGAGCTTCTTTTATACTTTCCTTCCCTTTGCAGATATAACCTTATCCTGAATGTTGTTTTTGTCAATTTCATGTTTGTTTCTGTGCTTTTACCATATTTTGTATGTCTATAAATAGTATAATCCTATATGTGATATATACATTTTATACAAAAGTTATCTTTATTGTAAGTCTTTCTATTTTGCTGTTATGTCATATTCTTTATTAAACATTTTAACTATTAACAATTAGCTGTTATTAACAGCTTTTAAATAATTAGTGATTATGAATGATTGCTTGTTTCAGTGATCTCCTTCAGCACTGCTTGAGACTTTTCATTGTTTTACATCCCTACCAATACCTGGTATTGCTAGACTTATTTTATGAATCTAGTGGGAAAATGGCACCTCACTTTTTTATAATTTGGTAAACTATCCCCTTCCTAACTCCCAGGCTTTTAGGAACATATTGTGACACCTTTTAAGTTAGGGAATTGCCATGGGTTTGCCTAGTTAGTTACCTCTTATTGAATTGCTCTCTCTGTGCTGTGATAGCAAGTTGTAGTCGAGGTCAAATCTTTGTTACCTCGAGATAATAAGGTTTATTTTTATTCTTCTCAGGAACTAAAATGAATTTCTTTGCAGTGTATTATATAGAGTACAAACTCCATAGTGCCAGAATATTTGCCACTTCATTTTGTATTTTGTTTTTCCTATTCTAGGCTCCGAGCTCTATCCAGTGGTGGGAGTATTACGTCCCCTCCTCTTTCTCCAGCATTGCCGAAGTATAAATTAGCAGATTATCGCTATGGCAGAGAAGAAATGTTAGCACTTTTTCTTAAAGACAACAAGGTAAGAAAGTAGGAAGAATTTAAAATTGTGAATGAGACTTGTGTAGTGATATGTTGATATATGGAAAATATTTATTCTGTTCATGTATTGACCTGTATTTTTATCCTCCACTTTACCTTTTCTTGCATTGAAACGGACAGTGTTAACAGAGGCTATTCTCTTCTTTTTAGAGAAGATCATGTTTCAGTGTCCTTATAGGAGCATACAGCAAGAGATAGCAGTAGCATCATGCCTTCTCTAGCTAATTTCTTAACTTCCCTTTTTTCTCTATTTTTGTCCCAGTTTAAATGGCTGAGAAATGAAGAATTTTTCCCTTATCTGTATTACACCTCTTATCCTTTCCAGTTAGAAGCCAGGAACAAGAGGAGGGGTAGCTTTTCTATCCTTTCCCTGAGTTAAATATAGTTTTTAGTGGAGAAAAATCTTAAGATGTAATACTATATTTCTGTCACTTGTAAATGATTAAACTGAAACAGTGTAACAATACTGAGAGAAATACTATTCTGTTTTTCCAGTATGCTTTATTTTTCCTGCATTAATGGATGGAGATTCTTTAATTTTAATGTTGCTAAGGACAGATAAAGTTGCTTATGAAACTGTCCTTACCATCTGCCTTGAGTTAAATGTGGAGATTTTTACTCCTCCACTGTGTGCTCTGGAATATGAGAGTTAATGCCAAATCCAAAAGTTGTCATCTCATGAGAGGAGAGGGATTGTTACTGGATTTTTAATTTATATAGATAAGGATTGGGGGGATTGAACCCCAAAGTTCTGTGCATTCTAGGCGAGCACTCTACTCAGCTTATTAATATTTCAAGTACCACATACTTGACAGAATTTTATTGTGGCTGAATAAATTTTAAGTTTATAATAATAATAGATGAAGAGTGTTTTTTTCTTGATTTATCTTCTTTCAGTTGGAGGAATAGCATTAATTTCATGGTCATGTGTTTGTCATATAGATACCTTCAGACCTTCTGGATAAAGAATTTCTGCCTATCCTACAGGAAGACCCCCTGCCACCATTGGCTCTGGTACCCTTTACAGAAGAAGAACAGGTTTGGGCTTAACTCTGAGTCACATGTCAAATGCTTGTTCCTTTCTGTTAAGTCATGAAACTGGGAAGCTAGTACTTTGGCCCCAAGGATTATCCCGAGTCTTCTCGGGTCTGTTTCCTTCTTACTATTTCTTGGTATGTGGATGCCTTTGAATTGCCTGAGTTTGCATTTGAAGCTGTGGACTATCATATAGAGATGAGAAATGTTTCTTGTGCCTTAAGGATAATGAGAACTATCCCTTATAATGTATTATAAGTAGAGAAGAATTGATTCTTTTTGAAGGGTAAGGAGAAGTTCAACTTTGTAGAAAAGCATAGTTTTCCATAAGTCAGTGCCAACCTGTATTCTCACTATTGCATTCTTTTTACCACTAAAGAAAAATGATCTTCATCTCAAGAGTACAGCTGAAACTCTTCTGTCGTCTTTTTTTCATAATACTGTGAGAGAGAAAAACTTCTGGGCTGGAAAGAAACAAATTTTGTATTTTCCCTATTCATAGTGCACTGTGTCCTATGCAAAGATAAATGAGTGATTTCAAGAAGCTTATGATGATTGTATTACAATGGAGAAACGAATTTTTTGGAATGCTGGAGTGCTAATTTAAATAAAAAATTATTATGACTTTTAAAAAATAGCTTTAATGGGATATAATTCATACTCCATACAATTTATGCTTTTAAAAGTATATAAGCCAGTTACTTTTAGTGTATCTCTGAGTTACACAGCTGTCACTGCTATCTTAATTGCAGAACATTCTCATCATTATGTTTTGTGATAATGGGTATATTTTCTGTAACTCATATTTTTCATGGATGAAGCCATTGTATCAAGAGGGAGCAGCTTATTAAAACAGTTCTCTATTAGAATTGTGTTAAGATCTAAGAAAGATATAGTAGTCATCTTTGGTGATTCTTTTTCTTAGCACCTAAATACTACAACTTCTTTTACATCCTTATATAAATTGAGAAAGAATATAGAGGAAAGAAATTTTAATGTACCTCATTTTTATAAGTTTTATAAAAGACATATTTGTCTCACAAAACAAAGGGCATTTTTTTTTTTTTTTTTTTAGTGTAAGTAGCTATAAATGCTTCCTGCAGTAAGGTAGAGTAAATACCCAGACCAACCTTCCAAAAAAACAAAACAAAAAAACCAAAAAACCAAACAGACTTATTTATTTATTTATTTAGTTAGTTGTAGTTGGACACACTACCTTTATTTATTTATATGCAGTGCTTAGGATGAACCCAGGGCCCCACACATGCTAGGCGAGCACTCTAACATTGAGCCATAACCCCAGCCCTTAGCACCTAAATTTCATAAACATGTTTTGTTCTATTTATAGCTTCTAAGTCAGGCTAGTTCCATCTTCATTCATAAAACCCATTATCTTCTAGGATCATAATGGATATTTTCATTGACAAAACAGTAGTTTATGCTGTAAAGAACACTGGAAAGAAAGAACCCTGTCTCTTGTGATTGCTGAAATTTCTTGCCGATGCACCCAATCTTTTTATTGATTTTTTTTTTTTTATTTTGAGATAGGGTCTTGCTAAGTTTCTGAGGCTGACTTTGAACTCATCATCCTCCTGCCTTAACCTCTCGAGTTGCTGGAACTACTGGAGTGAGCCACCATGTCCAGCTCTATCCTTTTTTTTTGGTTTTAAAAAATAAGATTTTCCATATAGTTGAAACTTCTTAGGGCTATATGTCTCTGTTTCTTCCCAGAGATTACCATGAATTGGTTTTTCTTATTCATGTTTTCCTATTTTTGTTACATATTTATCCAAGTGCCATAAAAATATTTTCATTTTATAGGATTATACATTTTACATTGAAGTTAGCATACTTTATGTTTATTCTGAAGCTTTTTTCTCTCAACATTTTGATCTTTAGATTTAACAATGTGGATTCATGTAGCTGTCAATTGGTCATCTATGCTTTATAGTACATTCTGTGGTATGAGAAATGTCCACAGTTTTTCCCATCCTTTAAATATCTTTGGATATTTAGGTTATTTTAAGTTGCTGTTGCTACTATAGCTTATGATACAGTGAATATTCTTCTCCACCTGCACCCCCCACCGTTTTTTTGTACTGGAGATTGAACCCTGTTGTGCTTTACCACTGAAATACATTTTTAGCCCTTTTTCTTTCTTATTTTGAGACAAGGTCTTGCTAAGTTGCTGAGGCTGGCCTTGTATGTGGGATCCTCCTGCTTAGCCTCCCAGTTTGCTAGGATTACAGGTGTGTACCACCATATCTGGTGCTCCCTATCTTCCCACCAGGTTCTGGGAATCAAACCCAGGGCCTTCTGCTTTCTAAGCAAGTTCTCTGTCAGATATAGGCCCAGCCTCTGCAGTGATCATTCTTAAAGTGTGTTGTAATCACTGGGTTTTGGTTCTTTGCACCCAGTTCTTCTAGACTTTTGCAAGCAAATATATGTATGTATTTTCCTCCTTTAATTTCAAGTGGCAGTACAGACTGAACATTGTTCTGTTGTTACAAGAATTGAGTTAAAAAAATTTTTTTTTCTTTTAGTTGTCAATGAACCTTTCCTTTAGTTATGTATATGTGGTGCCGAGAATTGAACCCAGTGCCCCACACGTGCAAGGCAAGCACTCTACCATTGAGTCACAACCCCAGCCCAAGATTGAATATTTTTATTAAATGTATTCCCTGCAAATTTGGAAAAAATTTCTTCCATTTTTGTATCTTTCATTTTTTTGTTCATAACAGTGAAGAGTTTATCAAATATTTATTAATTGATGATATTTTTGTTAATCTTTTTCTTTTTGTCTGCCAGTTTTTCTTTTTGGATCTTATTTTGTTGTTGTTGATTTACAGTATATATGTGAGCTCCTTATATTTCTATTGGCATAGCTGTGCCCCATAGGTTTTCTGAATTTTTAAATTATATTCATTATTAAAAGACAGAAGCTAATTTTTTTTGCACTGCTGTATACCAAACACAGGGCCTTGTGTGTTCTAGGCAGATGCTTTCCCACTAAAATCTACATCCCTAATTTTTATGTAGTTAAGTATACTAGTTCTATTCTATTTTTTAGTTGTTTTGTGTGTGTGTGTGTAATTTTTAAAAAATTTTTTCATTTTTTTCTTAAATGATTCTCTAGATTTCTTAGAGACTATCTGGGCCAGAAAAGCTACATAATGAATAGGGAAGTTGACTTGCTACTAGTTACCAAAACTTGGTGGACTTTTAAGCAACAGAATAAGTAATTGAATCATCCAGAAATATCCCTTAACGTTCCTAAGAAATTAGAATGTAGTAAGTGTCTATATAAGTCATTTGGGAAAATCAAAGATTAATAAATTAATGTTTGGGAGTTGTTAGTTAACAAAAGTTAACCAATAACAGTTTTGTTAGAAATTTATTAGAAATGAATAAATTAGGTATGAATTCCACCTACACACCAAAATTAGTTGTAGAATAACTTAAGGATCAGGTCTTAATTTTTTTTTTTTTTATTATAGAATTGTTTGTGTTAAGGGCTACATTTTACGATCATCTAGCTTTAATATGAGGATTGGGAGATTTTCACTGCAGCCACAGAAGATCATTAGGGTCTGTCTTTGGAGGCATTTAAATGGCATTATTTAGGATTTCCTGGTACTTACTTGGTAGCCTTTGTTATTTATAAAATATTTTGGAATCATTGCTTATGCCTGACTAAAGATTTATCAAAAATTTGATATTTGTTCTTTGGATGATTAGGTTACCCTTCCAGGGATTGTGTAGATCTTCATTGTTCAGAGTTTTATATACTTTTTATTTCAGTACTCCTATAGGGAGATAAATATTTATAATGATATAAAGTGAGCTTTTGGCTGTGTGCTTACTGACAGAGGTAATTTTGTCTTTAAAGTGTTCTTTCCCCAGATATGGTGGCACATGCCCAAGGATCTTAAGGTCCTAAGCAACTTGGTGGGACTCTGTTTCAAAGAAAAAAATTCAGAGAGAATAGGAAATTGTAGCTCAGTGGTAGGGCATCCCTAGGTTCAATCCCCAGTACCCCCCAAAAAAGTGGTTTATTTCTCTCCCCACTCCTCCCTCTCTTTCTGCCTCTCCCTCCCTTTTCTCTGTCTCTCTGTGTGTGTACGTGTATATATATTTATATATATGTATCAAATATAACCAGGGAGAAAAATGTTTTCTTAGATCCAAATTATTATTCAAAGATCTTCTAGTTCTTTTGGTTTGGTATTTCTTTTGACTAGCACAATTTGAGAAGGATGGTTCTCTTTACTACACTTGTAAGTAACTAATATGAGATTGGTAAATTCTCTGGGCACGGTGGTGCGTATCTGTAATTCCAGCTACCTGGGAGGCTGTGGCAGAGGATTGCAAATTTGAGGCCAGTCTCAGCAACTTGGTGAGACCCTCTCAAAATAAAAGGACTGGGATGTAAGCTCAATGGGAGGGCAATCCTGGGTTCAATTTCTAGTACTGCCAAAAATGGGGGCAAGAAACCTTAGAGGAGATTGGTGAATTTTATTTATTTGACATCAAAGAAAATTTGCATTTTTTTTAATGTTTATTTTTTAGGTGAAGATGGACAAAACACAATATATTTATTTTTATGTGGTGCTGAGGATCGAACCCGGGCCCTGCCTAGGAGTGATCTACCGCTGAGCCACAATCCCAGCCCCGAAAATTTGCATTCTTAAATAGATAACACACACACACACACACACACACACAAAAAAAAAAAAAAAAAAAATTAAAGAAGCAAAAATAATGGAGAAGTAAACTTTGTTTACTGTTACTTTCCTCGGGGATAACCATTTTTTTTTTTCTTTCTTTTTCCCCTGCTTGTGTTTCTTTTCAGGGGTGTTTAAGACATTTACAACCATCTGTATATTCCTTTAAACCCTTCCACACTATGAATGGCAGCATGCTGTGCATGAAGTTTTACACTTTATGGTTTTAACCTGAGCATCTGTCTAAAAGATAATGGCAGATACTTACATTGAGTTGTAATATGTTTCAGACGCTGTTCTGAATACTTGGCATTTAATGTGTAGAGTACTTGCAACAACCCCTAAGTTAGATAAAAATACTCTGTATCCCTGTATGTTAGGCTCTCCATAGGAAATTGTAGTGTTGGTAGATGAGAAATGGATGAATATTAAGTTTCATATGGTTCAACTTAAGAAATAGAATTTCCTCGTTTTTGTAAACAAGTGTGGAATTCTAAGCCTACAGTTTTTCATTTAGCCTCTATTGATTAATATATAGATGGTCTCCATTTTTTTTTTGCTTTGCTTTGTACTGTAGTTAAAATCTTTCTGCTTATGTTATTTTTTGCATATGTAACAGGTGGAATTTTTGTGTCACAGGGTATGAGCATTTAAATATATTTTGAGAAGTTACCTTTCAAAAAGATCTTATCAGTTTGCACTTTTAGCAGTAATGTTAAAGTGTATATGAAAAAACATGAGTTTCCCCCATTTCTAGATGGTGTATTTGGATTTAATGCATGTGATAATTTGGTAGTAAGGTGATCATTAGCATGGGATACTGGCATATAAATTGCAGTTACCTCTGACCTATTTATTTTAGTATTACAGTATGTAAATCACATTTTGGAGACGGCAGTCTTGCTTACTATAGTAATAGCTAGAGGCATTGTTCAGTACTCTGGCAATAGGTAAGTTATATATGTTTCAACCAATTTAGTTTTATTTAAGTATAATTTGAAATGAGATATTTTTGGTTAGGTGCTTTCTCGTTCTTCAATTACATCTTAAGTCTGTTGTATGATCATATATGTATAAAACTGGAAAAAAAACTTGATAAGGTTTCTAAAATTTACTTGAACACATTATTTTGAATAAAATTTTGAAAAAGACGAACAGTGAGAAAATGGCCTAGAACTAGAAGAAAGTTCAATAAAGAAAGTAGTTTTTTAAAATCCATATATAGTCTTCCAAAGAGAGAGGTATGGATATCATTTTAATTGGTTTGAAGTCATAATAAAAAAAATCACTGGAAACCACTTAGGATTAAAGCATGAATTGAGTTGAAGGTTTCTTATTCACTCCAACTCTGAAACTCACTCCTTTCCCATGAGGGCTCTTGGCTTCAGCAACACAAGGTTCATTTTTTCCCCAATATACTACTTTGTACTTTTGTGCAAATGTCTGTTAGGTTCCAAGGGTACAGAAGGAGTGAAGGACCTATTACAACATTTCCTTTTTCTCCACCTTTTTTTAAAAAAAGAAATATTTATTTTTGAATTGTAGTTGATTGGACACATACATTTATTTTATTTATTTTTATGTGGTGCTGAGGATCAAACCCAGGGCCTGGCATGTGCTAGGCGAGTGCTCTACTGTTGAGCCACAATCTTAGCCCTTTTCCCCACATTTTTTATTAGTGCATTATAGTTGTACATATTGTGGAATTTATTGTTAAATATTTGTACAAGCACACAATATAACAATATAATTTGGCCAATATCACTCTCCAGCATTCCCCCCTTCTTCCCTGCCTCCCACCGATTCAGCATGTTCTTAGTTTAAAACCCTCTTGCAAAATTCTCCATCAAATGCCAAGTATTTTTTTATTTATAGATTATTTTTCAAAATTTTTATGATTATTTATTGTTTACCTTTTCATAAGCCCCCATTTATTCCACTTATTCCAAAGGGTTATTTCTTGGCCTCTCCTCTTGCGGTGTGGATACCTACCTCCCCACCATTATCACATTGTACTTGACCCTATTCCAGATTTACTGTGGGTGTAAGTGCATGTTAATGACTGATTGGATTTTTTTAAAAAGCATTTCCTTTCCTTCTCATTCATATATTTTTCATGTAGCAGATCTTATATATAGATTCTTAGTTGGCCTTTGCCCATTCACTTCTGATTCCTGTCACTCTGTCAAATACACCTTTGAGTTGCTAATTCACAGTGCTGGACAGAATGAGGCAGAAAGATAATTTTCCTCTCTATCATTCTCTCTTTCATCAGATTCTTAGGCCCTCCTCCCTCATACTGGGGATTGAATCCAGCAGTGCTCTACCAGTTACATCTCTAGTTCTTTTTTATTTTGACACAAAGTCTTGCTGAGTTGCTGAGGGTCTCACTGAAGTGCTGAGGTTGACATCAAACTTGTGATCCTCCTGCCTTAGCCTCATGTGTTGGTGGGTTTACAGGTGCATTGGACTTTATGACTCTTTTATTTTTTCATTAGTTGAAAGGACCCTTCAAAATGAGATCTCTCTTACCAAGTTTCCTCTGTTGCCTGTTTACCTTGTTTGCTTCTAGTTATATACAGCATTTAGTTTGTTTACTTGTGTATTTCCTCAATGTACCTAGCATCGTGTAAGGTATTAGTTTTCATTGTATTGATCTGAAATGTTAATTTGAAATTGTCAGGTAAAACCAGGTTTTGGATTATCTGTGCATCTTGTGTAGTTATGATTTCACATTGCTAGTGTTTAGATGCCATTTTATACTTAGCAGTGGGAGGTGGGGAGAAGCAACATGTAGTTTTATCTGTTTTATCCATTTTTCTTTCTTTTTTTATTTTTTGGCAGAGAAACTTTTCCATGTCTGTAAATAGTGCCGCTGTCCTGCGATTGACAGGACGAGGAGGAGGAGGAACAGTGGTGGGGGCTCCTAGAGGTCGAAGTTCTTCAAGAGGGAGAGGTGAGCGAGTTTTCACATGAAAAATAATGATGAAGGAAGAGGAGGATAGGGAAATCACTTACTAAATATTTTAATGCTTATTTTAAAAACAACAATTGCTCTTTGACATTAACTGCATACTCAATGCCCTGCACATGTCTTCCCTAAACAAAATTTCAAGGCATCTTCTCTGCAGTCCCTGGTTTTGAGCAGAGGAGAGTAATTCCAGTGGTAGATATTTGAACTTGAGGGAGCCTGGACAGTCCCAGTTAATATGTGAAAATTCTAGTCATCCATGTTTCTCTTCCCTGGAGGGCTCTGTATTTTGGGAATCAGAGTGTCCTAAAGGGTCTTGGCTGCTGAAGCAGTACTGAGGCCCCTGTGGTCTCCATGCATAGACTTTATATATGAGAGCTGTGTGCTAGGAATGACCTCAGCCATAGAGGGACTTCATCAAAAATTGTCTCATTGATGCTGGGAACTTTTTAGGGAATAGAACAAAAAACAATCAGGCAGTATTTACTTATATAACATACATTTATAGATTTATGTCTTAGAAAAGTAATTTGTGTTTTACTGTTACTTGCTTTTTTGATATCTGCTTCTTATTTTGGGCCCAGTGATTTTCTGCTAAATAAAGACATTCATGATATTATAATATAAAAATTTATTTGAGTATTAACCCTGTGTTGGTTAAATTATGTAGTAGCCTGAATGTATCTCATTTTCTCTAAGAGAAGCTTTAGAAGTAGAAGAATGTAGTGTCTGCTTTGACAGACCATTTTCCCCATTTCTTATACCTCCACATTGGCTTGATCATGATATGGGGTACCTGAATTCCTTTTGCAACTTTAAGATTGTGCCTTTACTGGGGATATAGCTCAATTGGCAGAGTGCTCGCCTCACATGCATTAGGGCCCTGGATTCAATCCCTAGCACCACCAAAAAAAAAAAAAAAAAAAAAAAAAAACACAAAACAAAGTGTGCTTTCTGAATAGGGTAATTTATATACAATTAGTTTTTTTTTTAAATATTTTTTTCTTTGTAGATGGACATAATATTCTTATTTTATTTATTTATTTCTGTGTGAACCCAATGCCTCACAGGTTGAGGCAAGTGATCTACCATTGCATTACAACCTCACCTCAGCCTCAGATTTCTTTTAATTTGTATCCAGGGGCGGTCTACCACTGATCTGCATCCCCAGTGCTTTTTATTTTTTATTTTCAGATAGGGTCTTGCTAAGTTCCTGAGGGTCTTGGTAAATTGTCAGGGCCATCCTCAAAGTTATGATCCTCCTCCTTCAGCCTCCTGAATCATAAGGATTATAGATGTGCACCATCACGCTTAGTTAATTATGTTTCTTTTAGTAGTTTATGTACAAAGTAGGAATGCAGGTGTTATAAATAGTGAAGAGGTTAACTAAAACTCTTCACTTGTTTTTGTAGGTAGTGTTACCTACTCATGTTTTTTTCTTCTGAATTTACTTATTTATCTTTAGAACAGTGGTTGTTAACCTGAGAAGTTGTTAGACTCATCTATAGGACTTTCAGGAAATGCCTCTGCCACAGTATCTGTGCTGCAGTACCTCCATAGGCAGCTCAGGTTTGCACACCTGGCTAGGTTCCTGTTGTTCAGAATTTGCTTGAGATCTCTGCATCTTGGTGATGTGTTGGTGTTTGGGGATGTGACTGAGTCCTCATGGCTCTGCCTCTAGTTGTGCATTTTCTGTGTGTTCCTATTTAATGTGACAAGAGAGGTTTCACCCAGGCAACTTTGCCTCCAGTGCCTTTCAGGTTGTCAAAGAGAGATCTTCTAAATCAAGAAGTATGAATCACACTGATTCTCTGTGCTGCAAATATGAACTAGTCTCTCCAGGTCCTTATAAAAAACCCTACGTATTGATAAACAATTGGATTCTCTTGCTTTCTGGTTTTATTTAAATGAGGATTATAACAGAACTTAAATAGAGTATGTATAAAATACATGCTGTGACATAGAAGAACCTAGTGATTAAATCAGTGTATAATGTGAAAAATCATAAAACTAGTCAAATGAATGCACTTGACTTTGTGAAAAATACTTTTAACTCCATTGTCACAACCACCTGTAGTTCTGTTTAGTAATCTCTGCAGCTCATTTTACAAAAGAAGGTTGTAATTATTAAATCTGTGGTTTTGTATTTTTCAATTACTTAGTTTTAATTTGGTGATTAAATAATGATTATTGCAGCTTTTCTTTGCATGGACAGAGCTAACATTAGATGATTATTTTGTCTCTTTCCAACTCTAGGAAATGTTGGTGTGAAAATTGAGTTGTAGATTTCTAAATAATCATTAAACAATTGGTTGGAGGAAACAATATAATGTTGTCTTTCTTTTTTATCTGGTCTGGATGTTTAAAAAGAAAACAGATCTGTACAATTGTCAACCACTGTTCTCAGCATTATTAAAAGGAAGCATATTTAAATTCCCCAAAGAATGATATAAAATTTCAGACAACAGGACAGTCCTTTTTTTTTTGTTGGTGCTGGGATTGAACCTAGGGCCTCAGGCATGCCATTTAAGCTTTTTACTACTGAGCTGTGTCTGCAGCCCTGTTTAGTTTATTTGGCCTCAAACTTGTGATCTTCCTACTCAGAGTAGTTTTTTGAAAGGTTCATCACATATTTTCTTATTCTTTCTTGGGAACCATATTTGTAAATGATTTAAATTTGATAAACTGGGAAGCTGTAAAATCTGACTCTTTTTTATGTGTACATTAATCAAGCTTCAATTTCATAAGCAGGACCAGGACCAGGACCAGTGCTAGTACTGGCAGAAAATATTTTATATGTGTTTTCCTGGTAACTTGAAAGCTATTTTTTATATTAATGTGTTTGTAGAAAAAAAAATCTTCTTTAAGATGATACATGTGTAATGGCTTCCTTGAAAAAATTGTTCTCTAAAAGGAGAGGGAACTTTTTTTTTTTAATCCCCAGATCATCATTGTGGAATACCCTGCTCTTACATTATAGTTTGTATTGCACTGTTATAAAATGTATACATTTCATGAAGGGGAAAGGTTCTTAAATTGTGAGTTGATTTTAAGTTGACTTAAAGTGAATTTTATAGAACTGAAAGGTGACTTTAATATTGTTACAGTTCAACTATGGTTCTCACTTCCATTTTACAGATGAAGAGGTGGAGACTTAAGACTAGTCACCAAAGTTCCTAAGATTACAATTCTGTGCATTATTTTAATATATCATAATGTGGTCATAGAAAAGTACAGATATATTCTGTTAGTTCTTGATAGATAGTAAGGAAGAAGTGAATAACTGGAATAATTTTAACTCAGTTTTATTTGGCTTTGGAATACATTCATGTTTTATTTAGTATCCATCATTTTGGAGATAGAGTCCCGTAATAGAGTGCTTGCCTAACATATGGGGTCTTTGATTCCATCCCTAGCACCACAAAATAAATAAATAAAAAGATCAGTCATTTTTCTATTGAGTCATTTTGTACTGTGGGAGAAATTGAGTTCGGGATGATGGCTAAGATTTCTTCTAGTTATAAGTACATCCCCCAACCCCTATCCCTCCTCCATTTTTTTCACCAGTGTATCAGATACAAATGTGTACATTAGTTAGGAATATAGTACATGAAGTATAAAGCTGAGAGTATATATTTTACTTTCTGCCTCCAGATCCAGCAACTGGATAGTCATTCTTCCTGAGCCTAACTGTGCAGCAATATTGGAATAATTTTTATATGCATTTCTCTATGGTATGCTTTTGTTATTCAGTAGCATAATGTAGATTTCAGTTAGAATCAGTGCTTTGTCTTCTATGGCTTCATAATGTTATACCATATTGATTTATCAGAATTTTTATAGCCAATCCTTTATTGATTAGGTTGTTTACTATTTTTAAAAATTACAATGAACACTTTCATATACATGTCTAATTATGTATCACTTAAGGGGTACATTCTGAGAAATGCATCATTTGATGATTTTGATTTCATTGTTGTGTGCACACTATAGTATACTTACACAAACCTAGATAGTATTTCTCAATTACTTGACTTGGCTCCTTGTTGCACTTGAGAGAGACAAAGTGTATGAGGCTGCTGCCAGTGTAACATGACATACTGTTTTACAGTAAACCTTTTTTTTTTTTTTGGTACCAAGAATTTAATGCAGGAGTGCTTAACCACTAAGCAGCATCCCCAGCCCTTTTTATGTTATGTTTTGTTTTCTTCTTGAGATAGGGTTTCATTAATTGCTTAGGGTCTCACTAAGTTGTTAGGGCTTGTTTTGAACTACCGATCCTTCTGCCTCAGCCTCCCAAGCTGCTGGAATTACAGACATGTGCCACCACCTCCAGTCCAGTAAACTTTTTTTTTAATAAGTGGAAGAAATGTTTTATAATAGTGATAAAAGTATAATATAATAAACACATATACCACTGACATAGTCATTTATTATTGTTACCAAGTACTGTGGGTTGTACATTGTTGTATGTGCCATATTTTTATGACTGGCAGTGTAGCAGCAACATTATCCAAACATGTGAGTAATGGATTTCTCTCTTAAAACATTATGTTGGTAGGATGTCTCTACAGGTAGATAGATAGTTTTCAGCTCCATTGTAATCTGATTAATTACTGTTGGAAAAGCAGTCCAAAATTGACCAAATTTGTGCAAGTATTTCTGTTGGGATAAATTTTGAGAAGAATTGTTTAGTCAAATGTTGGTAGATTTAGCCAAATTACCTTTAGTAACGGCCAGTTTATATTTGAACCACTAGATCATCTAAATCCCTATATCTATACAGTAATAAGCTCTGTGGCTGGAATTTAGTCCTGATACTTTTCCTTATCTCAAGATTTGAGTAGAAGGTAGAGGGTGCTTTTTTTGGCCTCTAAGAAGTTCTTTTATGAAATTGACAGTTTTAGAATTGACCCTATTAAGTTATCCTTTTTCTGAGATTAGATAAATTTCTTTAACATTTTGCTTGACTCTTTTACTGTAGTTTCTCTTTTCACACTCTTCAGATTAAGATTTCTCTCATTTTGATTGAAAACAATCCAATAAAAGGCTTAATTTGCAGTAACTGTTTATGGATCTACTTAGAATTTCACTATTGAAGTTTTATTAAAGAGCTTATGTTGCCAGGCACAGTGGCAAATTTAAAACAATGATAACAAGGGCTCTCAGCTTGAATTTGTTCTTACTGCATTATTTTGTATTCTCCTTTCCTTTATTCACTTTCTATATTTAAGTTTCCTTATGTATCATGGGGGATTGCTTCTCTAAATTGATGTCTCTCAGATGACTTTTCTTGATGATAATGGTTTATATACCCAAGTAAGGCATAGCTATATCTTGGTTTGTAATCCCAGCAGCTTGGGAGGCTGAGGCAAGAGGATTGAGACATCAGAGCCACCCTCAGCAAAAGCAAGGTGCTAAGCAACTCAGTGAGACCCTGTCTCTAAATAAAATACAAAAATAGGGCTGGGGATGTGGCTCAGTGGTCAAGTGCCTCTGAGTTCAAACCCTGGTAACCCCCACCGCTGCCAAAAACAACAACAACAACAACAACAACAACAAGAGTTTATGTTAATTTTCATTATTGCTCAGGACTGGGTGGGACTCTTCCTTTAGTTTTTTATTTTTATTATTTTTTCAGCCTTGGGTGGGTAGTTACTTTGGTGCTATCATTGGTCCCACAGGTTAAGATCCATCAGGCCTTGTAAAATATTTAAATGTATATATCTTATTTGTAGAGACAGAACTTTAGAGGATAATCTGTCTTGTCAAACATGTTGGATGTTGACTTCTTACTTTCCATTTTTTCCTGTTTTCTTATTTTCAGGCAGAGGTAGAGGTGAATGTGGTTTCTACCAAAGAAGTTTTGATGAAGTAGAGGGTGTGTTCGGTCGAGGAGGTGGCAGGGAAATGCATAGATCACAGAGCTGGGAGGAAAGGTAATGAAGGATTTAGATCTTGGTGTAAAGATTTCTTGGTATATAAAACGTACTTATTTTTTGCTTTCTGCAGAGAAGCCTCTGTGTAGTTACAAGGTTTTATTTATTTTTTAAATGCTGTTAATTATTGAATATTAATATTTAAAAGAAGATGCATACTGGCACTAAGTAATGTTAGTGCCAGTATGGATGACAGTTTGCTTTTTGATTAGTGTTCAGTGGGAAGCGTTGCCGTTTTGAAAGAGGAATTAAGAATTAACCTGCATTGTAAAAGCATCTTCCTTTTATTGTTTAACTTTATATGAAGTCTCTGCAGATGAGTGAGAACAGTTGCACAAAGGTGAATGTACAAAGATGTTCACTCTGATAACATTTATACTATAAAATATTTGAAAACAAGTGAAACAGACTGACATTGCCCTGATAATAATGGTGTAAAATAAAATGCTATAAATAAAATACTATATAACAAAGATAAGGATGATTTTTGAACATGTTTAATGATTATGGGGAAGCACATTCAGGTTCCATGTGTTTAATTAAAAGAAATAATATTCTAGGATAATAGAAGCTTTATCTTGGTTTGTGGTGTAGTACTTTCCTTCCTATATTTTCTAAAATTTAGGCAATACCACACATTTGAAGAAAGAAAAATCTACTATTAATGGAAATACAGGAAAGTAGATGCCATGGATGGAAAGTCTATATATTATTCGCAAACCTTGTTTGAAACTTGTTTTATCTTTTCTAGGGGTGACAGACGTTTTGAAAAACCAGGGCGAAAAGATGTAGGTAAGTAAGGTTCTTGAAATATTTTGTGGCCCTCCAAGGCTCACAGGAAAGGATAAATTTATTAAAAATTGATTCATTACCTACACCTCTCCAGTAGATGGGGTTATAGCATTGTTTGCACTTAGAATTTTATGATTATTTCAGGTCTCCATTGCATGAAACCAGAGGTGATGAATGAACCATTTAGGATTTACTTGTTAGGTTTGTGTGTTCTCTACAAGGCCTATGTTGTTCCTAAGCCTCCTGTCCCCTTTTTTTCTGCAGTACTGGGTATTAAACCTGGGGATACCCCTAACCCTTTTTAGTTTGAGACAAGGACTTGCTAACTTTCAAAGTCTGACCTTGGGCTTGTGATCCTTCTGTCTCAGCTTCCCAAGTAGATGGGATTTCAGGTGTGTGCTACTGTTCCCTGGCATTAGGACCCTGTTTTGAACTGAAATTTCAGGATAGGAATCCTAATTCCTAGGATATATAGCATCTCATATGTGAGAAGAAATAGGGAAAATGCTAGTATCTTTGCTTTAGTAGTAAAAGCTGAATCTACAATTTTTTTTGTATGTGGTATATACTTTCTGTTTTCTTGTTTTAAGAGCAATTAAATTATATAGTTAAGATACTCACTGAAGAGGAAGAGGAGAAGGGGAACAGGAATTCAGTGTTGCTGAATTAATCATGGTTTATATAAAATAATTTATAATGTTAAGATGGTTTTCAGACTGATTAAAGGCACTGCATTATATACTGCCTGTAGATATTAGTATCTGAGAGAAAAAAACCCTATTCATACTACTGTTGGGGTTATGAAAATTACCACGCAATTTCTAAATTCCTCCAAGTGCCAAAAAAATTCTTCAGTGTTATTGTATGATAGTGACAAGCATTTCTCATCAAATATGTTAAGTATTTAAATACCTTTCATAGATTGATTTGCAGACTGTTTTGAGAACAAAGTAGTTATTAAACAATTTTTGCCTTATTGTTTCCATATAAAATTTATTTAAACGCATCAGTGATTTCAATTTGTTTTGTTTTTTTTTTTTTTAAAGAGAGAGAGAGAGAGAGAGAGAGAATTTTTAATATTTATTATTTGGTTCTCGGCGTACACAACATCTTTGTTGGTATGTGGTGCTGAGGATTGAACCTGGGCCGCACGCATGCCAGGCGAGCACGCTACCGCTTGAGCCACATCCCCAGCCCCAGTGATTTCAATTTATTATTCATTTACATGGCTTTGGAAATACTTGCTTTATATTAATGAAAAAACAGTGCATGAGTGAGGCATGAAGAAATTTGAATCAGTCTGTGTGGATAATTTGTTGTCAGCTTTATCCATATTGTAGACTATTGGATGAATGTTATCTTGGAGGACTTGTTAGGGCCTCTGCTCTCAACTTTGTCTAATTCAGTACTTTTACCAGTTAGTAGGGAGAGGCATCGAGATTTAAATAATAGATGATTTAGAAACAAAAGATTGGGTATTCTGAATTCTGAGATGTTTATTAATCTGATAATGAAAAAGGTGGTAATGACTGAAGAAATTTTTAGGATTAAAAGAGACTGCATGAAATTTCTTCATTCAACAAATATTGGAATTCCTAATTGTGTGCCTGCCCTTGTTTTAGGTGCTAAATACCTATTCCTTTTCTTTGGAAGACATTGGTATGATGATTAGATTTGCAAATCATTCAATATTAAGAGGGCTAGCTATAGAGTGGTACAGTTTGGACTTGGGATCAGAATTAAGGTGGAACAAAAAACCCGAGTCTAATTAAATGGAAATTGAACAGCAGAAAAAGCTCTCTTATAAGTTACTGAATTTAAAATGTAGAGTAGCTGTGTGTAACAGCCTACTTGGGAAAGGCTCAGCTCTGTCAGCTGATAGTATGCTTCATGTTAATCAGCAGCTTGATGGTGTCCTCAAAGCTGAGTGCAGTATTTGTTAGACCTAAAGTCTCCTCAGGTGCAGAGGCCCATTGTCATTTATGTTGTCACAGGACAACCTAAACATTCTGTTTATTTCTGGGGCCACACCTTGAAAGGTCCATATATTGGAGTAGGTGGTCCAGGCATTTAAAGCCTTGTGATGAGGACTGCATAAAGAAAATGGGGCTGTTTATATAGAAGGCAAGGCTGTAGATTGGGCAGAGTGGGCAGCAGGATTTACAGGGTCACGGTCTGCAAATATTTGCTAAATGATCATGTGAAAGAGGAATTAAGAATTAACCTGCATGAGTCTCAAGGACAGAAAGAGGCTGAACGATGGAAGGTTCAAGGAGGAAGGTATTTGATACATTCTCTGATAATTAGAGTTGTCTGAAAATGACTAAATATCTGAAGTTTATTTTGTTGATTTATATTTACACTTTGTGATAGGAATAGATGAGTGAAAGTTCTTTTTCATCATTATTTTTAGTTCTTTTGTTAATCCAACAAATTTTCCTAGCTTCCCTCTATTAAAAATAAAGGTGGTTTTCTTTGTACTCCATAGGAATAACTTTGAAGAGGTGAATTTCACAAAACCAAATTGACATGAAGTTTTCAAGAACATTAAGGAGGTTGATATGCTAGCTACTAATACAACAAAACATGGCACACATAGTATATAGTTGCATGTTCTTTTTTGGGTATGGGGGGCTGGAAATTGAATTCAGGTGCACTCTACTTCTGAACCACATCTCCAGCCCAATTTTGTATTTTATTTAGAGATAGAGTCTCAGTGAGTTGCTTAGCACCTCGCATTTGCAGAGGCTGGCTTTGAACTTATGATCTTCCTGCCTCAGTTTTGTAAGTTGATGGGATTACAGGCGTGTGCCACCATGCCTAGCTGCACATATTCTTTTTTTTTTTTATAGTGGCTTTTATTGAATGCTTTTTGATAAGATGCTCCTTCAGGTTAACTGTGCTAAGGATCTTGATCTTGTTTCATCACATAATCTTTTTGTTGAAAGTAATATGGATTAAAAGATTATTCAGTACTAATCTAGTTCGTGCAACACTTTTGATATATGAGTCACTTGTGAGATGATCTGTGACATTGAACTAAGATAATTCAAGCTTTGAAGATTCCAGAATGATTTGTTTCTTATAAAATTTTGAGATTTTCATATAAACACTATCATTGAAATGTATCCCGCCCTCAATCCCAACCCCCTGTATTTGCTTTATATAAGAAGGGAAATGGTGGAATTACTGATAATTTGGGGTAAGAGTCATGTATAACCTTGTGAATACCCATGGACAATGTGGAGGTAGAAAAAGTCCTGTGTTGTTGGGATTGTATAATTAGTAGTAATTGATTACTGCACAGGGGGAGATCAGTTCTTGTAATAATCTTGTAGTATGATTCTCTGGGGATAATATTGTAAAATGAATAATCCACATAATACCAGTAAATGAGCTTAGCCAAGTGTCATACTGACTAGTGCATTTTGGTATGAAATACTTGGGAACAGATAGGAAATTTTGGTTGTAGACTATTTATGGCAGTAAATAATATGGATTTTTACATACATAAATCTAGAACCTTATAATTTTTAGAAACCACATGTCTTCAGTTTGTTAAGAGTTGTCAGACCACCTGTGTTGGTTTCTAAGACTTACTTTATATTAGTTCCAGAGTTGTCTATCTAATCATGTATGAGCTCCCTGGTGACCCAGGTTAGTGAACTGCACAGCCCTGGAAGGTAGAGCTGCCTTTCGTACTTTATAGTAGTTTTCTCCTCCTCTCCATTTTTCTGGGAGACTAATGGTCTCTGCAGAAAATCGGCTGGAGACTGTGATTTTTGTTTTGAAAAATGATGAATAGTGCTCCAAAAAGCTTTCTATTCCCTGCATTGAAGTTTATGAACACATTTTTTAGTTGTAAAATATTTTTTTTTTTTTAAGAGAGAGTGAGAGAGAGAGGGGGACAGAGAGAGAGAGAGAGAATTTTAACATTTATTTTTTCTTAGTTCTCGGCGGACACAACATCTTTGTTGGTATGTGGTGCTGCTGAGGATCGAACCCGGGCCGCACGCATGCTAGGCGAGTGCGCTACCGCTTGAGCCACATCCCCAGCCCCCTGTAAAATATTTTTTAATAGCATTAATTTAACTGACAGCATTAATTTTTTTTGGGGGGGGTAATGGGTGGGGGAAGTCACATTTAGTTTTTCAGATGTCAAGTTTATGTAAAGTTTATGCGTGAATTGGGTGATATGAGACTGACTTAAATGGGAACATCAAGCATCTAGAGGGAGACTCAGAGCTCAGGCCTCACACTTTGGCATGTTGTGTCACCTTGAACAGCTTCACTCACCTGTTTAAATAGTTGTCTGTGTGGGTGACATAGTGCTCTTAGGAAAAAAACATACCACGTGAGTCTTTGATACTGCGTTTATTTTCATAGGTTAGGCAAATCTTGTTTATTTATTATAAATGAAATAAGAATTCCTGCTGTTGTGTTACAATAGTTTTGGGTTGGGGAAAAAAAAAATCTGTTGGTCTGACTCCTACTTAATGAATGCCTAAGATTCTTAACTAGCAAAGTCCGTGATAATTAGGTTTCTGTGTCCTTGATATTCTTGTGCTATTATCAGTCTTAGACCATTCCAAAGTTCTTCATTATTTTCTTTTCCTTTTGGTCAAAGAGTAGAAAAATGTGACTTGCTGCTGTGCCCTGCTCTTTACAACTGCTTGCCTTTTCTCAGCTAGTATTTATTTCAAGAGATGATTCCTGCCTGGGTCATCACCAGTGGGGAAGGTTAATCTTTCGCTTTTCCACATGAGCCTGAATAAGGGAAATTTCAGAAAAGAAGAGCAGCTACAAATCTGTTTGAAATCTGATAGGGCATTGCTTTTGGTTCTTGTTTTGCTTGAGGACAGCTTCATTTTTTAACGGAAATGAAAATAATTCAAAGAAATGTCTTAAGCTGGATATAGAGAAAGTATTCATCTTAGTATATATAAATGAAAACCAAGGCAGAGAAAGCATAATTTTCATGGCACATTAGACTTGGAAAG